GGATTCTCGAACCGAGATTCTCGACTGCCCAGGCATTTTTACTTTCCGACCTATGTAGGCGCACATAAGCAAAATACCCATAATGAAAAAAAAATTTTGTAAAATTTATTTTACGGAAATACACGTTTTAAGACCTCCTGATCATATTTTAATTATTGAAAAAAAAGAAATTTTTTTTTTATTCCCATGTATGAGCACACATATGTATATTATTAATACGATTGAATATAAATAGCTAAATGAATTTAAATGAAACTTTACATTTAAGTTTTATGTTCTCATTTCAAAGTCCGGTTAGACTTTGACTATAATCAGTCCATGGATAATAATGATTATACCTCTTGTTTCATAGTTGTTCCGATATATGTATAGGCATAATGTATAAAAAATCTTTTAAATGTTTCATATAAATCTTAGGACGAATTAAATTTTATATATGTTAGACAGACGCGTAGAATGGAATTAGGAATTAAGAAATACGCAGGGTATTCGTATACATGCTTTATTCCCGTTCTTTCAGCGTCGGAAAAACAAATGAGCCCGTCCTGGGCCTAGACCCTCGCCTTTGTCGTCAGCCTTCTCCCCCATCGGTAGGGGTGGGAGTGTTGACGGACGAAGGCCAGACGCGGTCCCTTGCCAGCGCCTCGGCTTGGGCCTCGCCTTTTCCCGACGCCTTACATATGTATAAAAAAAATTATATAAACTTTTTCTCTATCTTCTCTAGAAAAGAAAAAATTAAATGAAATCTTATACATTACATGCTTACTTAAATCGCATTGAAAACGAATACCACAAATGTTTTAGAATAATGTGCAAAATGTGATTGCGATTTTCGCTAAGACAAATTGAAAACTCGTTTCTAACAAGGAAAAGTTGGAATGGTACCAGGTTTTGGGATAGGTTTTACTTTGAGATATTATTAAAGTTATTACAGGTACTTATTTTCAGAAATAGAACTATGTTCACCACTAATCAGCGTGGTGTGAGTGATGAGGTCTTTGCCTGCAAGTTCCGAACTTCTTCTGCTGTGCTGGTTCGAACCCTGCCAAAACAAATCCTTTTTTTTTATTTTTTCAATCATATTTTAATCGTACACTAAATGTGACATTATATTTTTGTCTGACCTTCGAATATTTTTTTTTAAAGTTGAATTTAACCAATTACATTTAACATATGTTATTTTCAATGTACGAAGTACATGAATCTGGATGGTACTTTTCGTAAAAACAGTGAAAACATAACAATTTCAAGCACCACCTACATCTAATGAAAGTTCTGTTTTCACAGAAATAACAAAAGGACAATGTTAAGTCATAGAGGGGTTTACTGACCCAAGAGCGTACAGCATATGCTATACACCGTTGGAAAGGTCTTGCCAAGGCGAATCGACTGATACCATTTTTAACTTCGATATCAGATGGGATAATGTCGAAAAATGGCCTCAAAGTTCGAGATTTTGCGGTTTTGAACAAAAGAAACCGGTAGTAAAAGCCCATCCGGCCCGAGGGACCTCGGGTCGGGTAGGCACCTGAGGAAAAACCGAGGGGTGTAAGCGATACTCTAGCAGATTGGGACGGCAAATGTGCCCCACCACCTTCATTTCAGTGCCGTGTTGGGCCTGCGTTTGCCGCATGGGCCCCGTTCCAAATGCCCAGGGCGAAATCGCTAATGGATCAGTTGTTTTTCATGAACATAATATATTCATGGTAGACAATTCGCAGGTATAAGTTGGGAATGTGCAGGTTAGTATTCAGACTAATGCGTCACTTACAATAGTGAATGGAGTGACATTTTATTGATTGAACGAAACATAATGATGTGAATACTGAATACTAACCTGTACATTCCCAACTCATACCTGCGAATCGTCTATCATGAATATATTATGTTCATGAAAAACAGCTGATCCATTGGCGATTTCGCCTTGGGCATTTGGAACGGGGCCCATGCGACAAACGCAGGCCCAACACGGCACTGAAATGAAGGTGGTGGGGCACAGTTGCCGTCCCAATCTGCTAGAGTATCGCTTACACCCCTCGGTTTTTCCTCAGGTGCCTACCCGAGGTCCCTCGGGCCGGATGGGCTTTTACTACCGGTTTCTTTTGTTCAAAATCGCAAAATCTCGAACTTTGAGGCCATTTTTCGACATTATCCCATCTGATATCGAAGTTAAAAATGGTATCAGTCGATTCGCCTTGGCAAGACCTTTCCAACGGTGTATAGCATATGCTGTACGCTCTTGGGTCAGTAAACCCCTCTATGACTTAACATTGTCCTTTTGTTATTTAACTCTGATGGAAAGGCCGCTTCATTTACATTGATAAAATGTGAACGATTTTCGGATAGTCGTACCTTGTAGGTCGTACTTTTTACCTTATACTTCAGGTAAAAAGGGATATAGCTGGGAAAAACAGTTTTATGACATTACCTGCTAACTTATGTTACTGTTCTACAATGAAACGCTATGTTTTGTACCTTTAAAAATATTCGACTATGTCCTTTTAAAATTTAAGATACAACCCATACTTTGTATTAAACTGGCAAACGGGATCACTTTTCCTTTGTTTCTAGTTAGTTCTATTTAGTTCGTCATAACAAATTGATACGGTTATCTCAAAACAATCGAGGAAAATCATTATTAATTAATTTCTGCAATTATTAATTCTACTGTTTTGTTTATGTTATAAAAGTAAGAACTCTTCTTATTGAAAAATACCACAGCGTGCACAATACTGGTAAAGAGTGGAATCTCATTTTAATTTATTAATTTTCAATCTTAAAGTATTTTGATTTTCAAAAATCGTATTAATAATATATATACAGTTACTCACAAAATTGAGCGTACACCTATGTAGTTAATAAAAACTTGTGGGAAAATGAACATAAACAGACATATTTAAAAGTAAAAACGCATTATACATTTTACTTGTACATTTCAGCAGATAATGCGTGAAGAAATTATTAAACAATATTGATTGTTCATCTATGTTTAACAAAAACTTCAAAAGTATGCTTATTTTATCGTCACAAAATTGAGCGTACAGTTTATTAGTAACTAGAAAACTAACTTTTGTAAAACTTCTCATGGTTTACAATTCATTCGATTGTATCTAGTAACATAGTTCCGTTGCTATGATACGTTTGATTTTCATTTGTCATTGTTTATTAGCGAAAATTTGCACTATGGCTTCACAAAGATCAGAAACTGATATTTCTGTGCGAAAATTAGTTGTTAAATTGTATTGTCAAGGTAAATCTCTAAGGCAAATTGGAAAAATAATAGGTAGAGCCCACTCTACTGTAAAAAAAATTATTAACAATTACAAATACAATGGTACACTGCATAATCAGCCAGGACGCGGAAGGAAAAAAATTCTGACTGGAACTGACGAACGGTACATAATACGACAAATTAAAATTAATCCAAAAAGTAGTGTACCAAAATTAACAACAGATGTTTCATTGAGGATTAGAAAATCGATATCGATAGAAACTGTTCGTAGGGTGCTACGTGATAAAGGCTATCACGGTAGGGTAGCAAGGAAGAAGCCTTATATTTCTAAGGTGAATAGAATCAAGCGTTTGGAATTTGCAAAAAAATATGTAAGTTGTGATATAAATTTTTGGAAGAACGTAATATTTTCTGACGAAGTTAAAATTAATTTATTTAATTCGGATGGAAAAATAATAGTATGGAGACAACCGAATTCAGAGTTCGATCAAAAGAATACGGTTCCTACTATAAAACACGGCGGAGGTTCAATAATGCTGTGGGGATGTATGGCAGCAAGTGGAGTCGGTAATAGCAATTTTATTGAAATAACTATGGACAAACTAAAATATCTCGATATTTTGAAAAAAAATTTGAAATCGTCAGCTCTAAAATTAAACATGCCAGTCATATATTATTTCTAACAGGACAATGATCCTAAACATACATCGTATATTATTAAAGAGTGGCTGCTATATAACGTGCCAAAATTATTACACACTCCACCACAATCGCCGGATATTAATCCCATTGAGAATTTGTGGCGAGAATTAAAATTAAAATTAAATAATTGTAGTTTTAGTAATAAAACAGATGCTAAACGCAAAATTGTAGAAATATGGAATAGTATTCCGTGTTCGACTACAGAAAAGTTAGTCGAGTCTATGCCAAAACGTTTGAGAACAGTTATAGATGCAAAAGGATTTGCAACAAAATATTAAAATAAAATCTGTTAGTTATTTTTGTTTAATTTGATCTGCTGTATGCTCAATTTTGTGACAGTAAAACAAGAACAGTTTTGTTGCTTTTGCTAAATAGAAATGAACAATTAATTTTATTTAAGACTTTTTCCACTAATTGTCCTTCAAAATATATGAACAAAATAAATATTACGTTTTTACTTTTAAATATGTCCGTTTATGTTCATTTTCCCACCAGTTTTTATTAACTACATAGGTGTACGCTCAATTTTGTTAGTAACTGTATGTGTGCTCATACATGGGAATAAAAAAAAATTTCTTTCTTTTCAATAATTAAAATATGATCAGGAGGTCTTAAAACGTGTATTTCCGTAAAATAAATTTTACAAAATTTTATTTTCATTATGGGTACTTTGCTTATGTGCGTCTACATAGGTCGGAAAGTAAAAATGCCTGGGCAGTCGAGAATCTCGGCTCGAGAATCCAAATCGTATGCCGTTGACTGGAGGTCGGATTTCAGTTGTTAAGAGCGAGAAGGCAAATGTGTGCCTTTCTCTCTCGACTCCCACGAAGCGGTCCGAAATTACTTCGGGCAGCTTCGGAGAATCGAGAAAGAGGGCATGCGTCAGTTTGCCTTTGTCGTCTTTCCGAAACTCCACGAGCTCACGTACGCGTATCTAGCATGTGTGAGTGTGCACCCGACGGTGCTTTTCTGGCATCACTGGGTGAAAGGTCTACTCGTATACCTCGTCTATGGTGTTACCATATCACTAACCGTGCGCACTCGAAATTACCACTTTCATGCCAGAATGCTATCTCGTATACGGGAGCTTACATAGCCTCAAGATTGAGAAAGACCGACTGATACTCGCCTTCTTTCTCAACCCTTTGAACTCTGCGAGGTTACGTCCACGCCATCTCGTCCATTAGTGTAAGAAAGAGGAAGGGGAAATTTCGAGTGTACCCGGTGCGTGTTCTGGTAACACTGGTTCGTACTCCATACACGGACTCGAGAAGCATTCTTCCTTTTGCCTCATGGTACCCAACGGAACAGATCTTTTCAGCTCCGAACAGTACAAGGAAGTAAATTTTACATATGTCGCTAGTACACTGTAATAGTAGTAACCATCAGATGGCGCAGTAATTTGAATACAACTACTTGAATGCACAGGAGTTTCCAAGCTCTGGTGTGGTCGGCAGCAAAATGGCAGCGAGCGACACTATCACGGATGACAGCCTTTATCCAATTGCGGTTTTGATCGACGAACTAAAAAACGAAGATGTACAGGTACTTCGAATAATGTTCATAATCGTTATTCTGTAATTCCAAAGCAATCAGCTTGTTTTACTGCCCATGGTCACCGAAGGAAACAGAGTGTTAAGATAGCTAAAGCGGTAGTGTACTACTGAATAAAATATTCGATTAATCGGCTGTTAGCTTACCATCAACTTTCTGCTTCCGATATTAACATATCTGGCGTTATAAACCAACTGCGCAACGATGCTACAACGTTAAAAATTTTAAACGTGAAAATTTGAATTCAAACGAACACGGATTGTAACAAATCTGATTAGAAAAAAGAAAGCATTTAAGAATTTAGTTGAATTAATTGTAGATGATCTTCTTGTAGTTTCACAGAATCTCTTTTGTTACAGTTACGGCTGAATTCAATAAAGAAATTATCCACGATTGCTCTTGCTTTAGGCATCGAACGAACACGTAGCGAATTGATACCATTTCTGACAGAGTCTATGTACGACGAAGATGAAGTTCTATTAGCACTAGCAGAACAACTTGGACAGTTTACCCTTCTTGTAGGAGGTCCAGAACATGCACCATGCTTATTGGTATACATCATCATTTATAATCTTATACTATTAGGTTCTGAAATACCATTAGATATAAAATTTTTAACTTTGAAAGATCTAAAAGAATGTTTAAAAAAAATCATATATTTAATTAATAGTAATGCGATATATAGATGCTACATTTTGTGTAACTACAACAACTTTATAAGTGCCAAATTAATTATCTATTCATTATGATGAAATAAGTTCCCTGAAGAAATATGACAATGCAAGAGATATTTCAAGTATTTTATAGCAATGAACATCATTCAATATAATAATTTTTTCATATATATATCATTTTAATCTATAAATTATTATTGGTTGAAATTAAATTATTGTTATTAATATTTGGAATTAATTCTTTTTATAATTATAAGACAACAATTCGTATTATTATACAGCTGATACGTACCTTAGTTGCATAATAATATACATTGTATCTTTCATATCTTAATATACAGCAATGTATTGTTTACATATATCTTAAATAGAGAAGTAAAAATATGATATTATTTAATTTATTAATAAGAAATGGATTTCAATAAAAAATTAATTTTTTATTAGAAACCTCTAGAGAATTTGGCAACAGTGGAAGAAACTATAGTTCGAGATAAAGCAATGGAGTCTTTAAGAAAGATCGCTGCTCAACATAGTCCAACGGATCTGGAAGAGCAGTTTGTTCCTCTGATACATCGTTTAGCTACAGGAGATTGGTTTACGTCAAGAACATCTGCATGTGGCCTATTTAGTGTATGTTACCCACGAGTTAGTCCATCGGTTAAAAGTAAGCAGAAAATAATTTAGTCCTATCTATGGAAAAATAAAACTTACTTTTCGAAGTATAAAATTGTGTATTTTGTCTTTACAGCATGTTTACGAAATCATTTCCGTAATTTATGTCAAGATGACACGCCGATGGCACGTCGATCTGCAGCTTCAAATTTAGGAGAATTTGCAAAGGTTATGGAAATTGAATACGTGAAGGCAGATTTAATACCAATGTTTGTTATTTTGGCTCAAGATGAACAAGTAGGAAACTATAGGAACTTCAGATGTATAAAAAGTATAATAGTCAATTATAGAACATTGTTAATATGTGTAATATTAAATTCCACAGGATTCAGTTCGTCTTTTAGCCGTTGAAGCCTGTGTTACTATCGCAGCTTTATTACCACAGGAAGATGTAGAACAATTGGTCATGCCTACACTTCGACAGTGTGCGAGCGATCAGTCGTGGCGTGTACGTTACATGGTAGCTGATAAGTTCACAGATGTAAGTTTCTCAAAATATTTCAGTATGTAATCAGAGTACATGTACAAAGCATCTCAATTAAACCAGACCACTTAAATATCTTCACCAATTGGGATGATACAACAAATATTTGTCTCTAATGTTTCGAATTTCATGCGACGTTAAATATGAAATTCTTAAAATAAAAAGTTTTTTTATAAAAAAGTAAATAAATCGTGTCCGGGCTTTGTTATCACATTTTTCTTTTTTATTTTTATTCATTTATAATATATGTATCGTTTGATTTCTCACTGACATTTCGTAAGTGTAGTGGTAAACAGAAGGCATCGTTGTAAAGCAAGATACGTTTATTGTTTACGTTAATTGTTTATTAACTTCAGTTCTTATTCATTTCAGCTACAAAAAGCTGTAGGCCCGGAGATTACAAAAACAGATCTTGTACCAGCATTTCAAGTATTGTTAAAAGATATGGAAGCTGAGGTGCGAGCTGCTGCAGCTGATAAAGTTCGTGACTTCTGTCAAAATCTTGACAAATTTAATCAAGAGTCTATTATAATGACGAACATATTACCAATAGTGAAGGAACTTGTATCAGATCCAAATCAGCATGTGAAATCAGCTCTAGCAAGCGTTATAATGGGCCTTAGTCCAATACTTGGGAAACATAAGTAAGTAAATATTACATATTTGAATATAAAAACGTAATTGGAACCAGTAAATATTTATGAAATATTCTTTAAATTCACAGTACAATTGAGCATCTATTACCATTATTTTTGTCACAACTCCGAGATGAATATTCAGACGTACGTTTGAATATTATCAGTAATTTAGAATGCGTCAATGAAGTTATTGGTATACAACAGCTTTCGCAATCTCTTTTACCAGCTATTGTAGAATTAGCTGAGGATACAAAATGGCGAGTGAGATTAGCCATTATAGAGTGAGTACTTTTCATGATGCATAATTTCACAATTCCATGATATAAATATGAAATATGAAAGCGATCGATATAAGGTGACAATTGATTTATAACATATGTACACCTTTTCAGATATATGCCATTACTAGCTGGACAACTTGGTGTTGAATTCTTCGACGAAAAATTAAATTCTTTATGTATGACTTGGTTAGTAGATCATGTATACGCTATCAGAGAAGCAGCAACCTTAAATTTGAAAAAGTTGGTAGAAAAATTTGGTCCTGAATGGGCACAAAATACAGTAATACCAAAAGTTTTAGCAATGTCGAGGGATCAAAATTATCTTCACAGAATGACTTGTCTATTTTGTATTAATGTGAGTAATATTATAGTACGATATTTTGTCCATATTTCAATCTTTGTGTTTTTATTCACAATGTTATTTATTATAGGTATTGGCTGAAGTATGTGGCCCAGAAATAACAACAAAGGTGATGCTTCCAACTGTCCTTGGAATGGCCACTGACAATGTTGCCAATGTACGATTTAATGTTGCAAAAACTCTTCAGAAGATAGGACCTTATCTCGAGCCTTGCGCAGTGCAGGCTCAAGTAAAACCCGTACTTGATAAGCTTAATACTGATAGTGATGTCGATGTGAAATACTTTGCTTCAGAAGCAATTGCAGGCATTGCAGGTAAAACATTTAATATTATTTTACTTTCAGGAGCAAATTACAAATTTTGATCGATTAAAATTAGAAATCTTATATGAACTATTTATTATAAGAGTTCTGCAAGCCCACAAACATGAATATTCGTATATTCCTACAATATTAATATTATATTCTTAGACCTATAACATCAGTAAAATATAATGAATCTATTCGGTAATACAAAGCATTTATTTCATATACGCATATTATATTTATGATGTAAAATTTGTTCCAGGGTAGGCTGAACAAAAGAAAACTGCATTTAAAATTTACCCTTCAATATCCAACTTCAACTTCAAAAAGTAACCTGCTGCAATATTTACATTTACACATGGCAACAGGTAACATTATTGCACAGTCAGAGCAGATCGATCTAATGTCGAGAAATATAAACTTCAAATTAGTAGTTCATATTAAATGATATTTTAAGTTCTGTTGTATCTGTATGTTTATAATTATATTACTTATTAAATATTCAATTTAATTTGTAAAATGTATTTCTTATGCGTATCTAAATACTTAAAGGTAACTCAGAATTCAGGGATTTATATCGAAATGGAAATCGATATATCGATATTATAGCGATATTTTTCAGTTTTACCGTTATAACTTTTACAGAAACCGTAATTCAGGAATACCGGTAATTTTTTTGGATTTTAGTAGTATATCGGTTTCGGTATTATACATGTATTGACATTTCTACTATATCAATTTCCATAAAAAGTTTGTTAAGGCGCACGGATCGGGACTGGAGCATAAGCTGTAACGTAGAAGAGACACGATTCCGTGCAATCGTTTTTTCCTTGTTTCCTTGTTTTCACTCCACTTCAAAGAGTGAAATAATGCCAATATCAACATCATAACGGTATAAAGTCCCTATCAGAATCATTCCTGAAATCACATATTACCATAATCTGCTCTTCTGAATTCACCAATCAAAAATTTACTTTTGTCTTTTAATAATCAGTATTTTAATTTAATATATTCGTAACATTGTTAAGTATTGTCTTTGTAAACATAACAATAAAATTAGTAATCAGTAATATGCTTTAGTTTGGCTTCTTTTATTTAATAGTCAACTTACTTTTATGTCATACAATTTTTATTATCACAACTTACTACTATTCCCTTCTTTTCCTACATTTTACATGCAATAACATGAATATGGCTGATGTTAATACATATTTATATATCTTAGTATTTCTATGAGGATGAATTGAAATTAATTTTATTAGATTAAGTGCTGATAATATTTTTAAGTTTCTTCCGCAGAATAATGAAAATAATAGTAGTTTCTCTAATCAGAAATTTCAGGTTTTTAAAAGTTAATTATATCGATGTTAAACATATTTGTGATATTTTAATTATTTGTTATACCTTACATACTTCGTTACTTGTACGCAAATCCACGAACAGTAAATACATATTTTGAATACGAATTGGTTATGTCAGCCAGTTCATAATAAAAAGAGTAAACATTGTAATGAAAACAACATCGTTTTTATTACATTGTATAGATTTACCTTAATATTTGTTCTATCTTATATTAAGCAGATATTATTTTACTTCTGTTAGTATTCTTTAATACAGAATGGCTAATCATTTATATTGTTGTAACCTATAAAATGTATTTTTTAATAGTCGTTAATGGAACCATCATATAAATAACTGTTCTACATTTACAATTATTATAATCAGTTATTACCATTAAAATGTTTTTGTACTTCTACAAAAGAAAAAAACAGAAAATATTCATTAGTAGTACGATATTACATACATAATATACCCCCTTCCAAGAAGAGAAGATACATATAATTTTATAATTATAATACTATATACACGTTCTACAAAACTAGATATCATATGAAATACGAGTATTCTCAAATATAAAATTCATGTAACACAGAAACAACATAAGTCTTACTACCTATTAAAATAGCATTACATACCAATGGATCATCCATAATATATGTATTATTATACATAATGTTTCCAATTTCGTAAAACCATAAATGTGGTACAAAATTTACATAACCATAGATGATTGAAATGAGGATAAGTTCGGTTAATCTTATGCAGAATAATTATTCACTAAGATTTAATTTTGTAATTTTAGATAATCTATTTTCTTATACGTTTGTTCCGTATAATGTTCTCGTCGTAATCATTTGTTCTGTATTATGGACTCATTATAGACTTACATATGATTAGCGCAATATAGTTACAAAACTATGCGCTTGTTTTCTGTTGAGAACAATCCCTTCTTTAACACTGCATTTATTCTCATATTTGCAATCACCACTATTTCGAGATATTTATAATTTATTTTATAAATACTAATTATGATATTGCAAATTTACCACTGCAGAAATAATTTTCGCACTTGCATAATGTATATAAAGCAACTTCATTTTCAAAATTACTTTTCGGAAAATCTTATTCTTTTTTTTATATATAATTAAAAAAATAATTTTAATATTAAATGTTAAATATTAAATTCATGTCACCCTGAAATGACATTTTTAGATATCACATTATCAATATTGATTAAAAAAAAAAATATTGTCAGCCCTTAGTAGCACAAATTTTTATACTGGCAAATATGTTGATATAAATATTCGATTTGCTACTAAGAACACAAAAATAATTGGAATTTCTTAAATTTACGGTAACTTGTCGACAGACTAGTCAAAAAACATACGAAAACTTGAAATTTGGCAATCGCTTTTTTTCTTCAACACAGTAATAAATTACGCAATACATTTTTCATAATTCGTAAATTAACTATTCAAATCAACTTTTTTTTTATAGTTGTCTAACGAATCATAGAAAAAAGTTCTGTGTAAAATATATGCAATTTCACACATAATTTACATCCATTTAAAGTTTTAAGAATTGTGTTCTATATTTTCCTGCAGATTATTCTCATTAATAAAAAGAAAATAGGCAAATATTAATTAAATCGTCGCTGTTTCAGACTTTGGCAGGTCTACACAAATTGTGTGACTAATAGTTGAAACATGTGCACTCCCATTACTGTCAGAACTGATAATATTTAAAGATGAAATTTTGGCACGTTGATACGCAACTACTGTGTTTAAACTTAAAAATCTAAAAATGAATTTGTCAATTAATACAACCTAGTATAAAAAGATTTGCATATTAGAATATAAAAGGACATTCTTAACTTACCTTATACAAACGTACATCACCAATAATGCAGCACCGGCTGCAAACATTCTAATAATAGGTCCCTCTACTAATTGAATAAGTGTCCAGGCAGCAGCAGAGGACCCACACATTGTAGTGACAATAGCAATAGTTTGCAAACAATGACGCGAAGTTATACTATTTTGCCAATCTAACCTATCTGCGTGTTCAACATTATACTGTGCACCACACACTTTGCAAGTGAGACTATCAGCATTTACAGCACTCTGAAATATATACAACATATATAATGACACAGTAAAGAAATTTAAATACGGTAGAAGTAAAATATTAATGTCTTACCTCGACTAACCATCGACGTAAACAATTATGATGAACCGCGCTTACATCCCCTCTACATTGACAAGGTTGTATCAATGGACCAGCATCTTGCCTGTCACTATCATAACAAATCCAACAGTCTTTACTACTAATCGATGTTCCATCTGAGAATAACGCAGCGTCTTGTTCTCCGCTTTTGTCTTGTAATTCAATTTCTTTCATATATTTAGACTGATCTAGTCTTTTCAATATACGCTTCGGATTTAAAATCCACAATTGTTCTGGACTGTGGATTTAGTGTAAAAAAATTACATTGCTTTGTTATTTTAAATAATTAAAATTTACAAAATTATGTTGTAAATGTTGATAATATACAAAAAACACACCTAAAACAATTCCACAACACACATGGGAACCACAATACAACTCCAACTTCAATGACACGGAAAACAATATCATGCCAATTCCTGCTATATAAGGGAACCCTGTAATAAAAATAAACGAATGAAAATTGAGCGCGTTAAACATTATCAATTTATTGGCCACGTTATTTGGTTCGCTTTGTATATTATCTCCAAACTTACTTAGTTTTCCAAAATTCACTAAGCGTTTCGCTGCACAAAAATCCGACAATAATAAAAAGCATGAAAGCTTGCGATAATAATCCAACGCGAGACTGGTGCAATTGAGAAATATTTATTTCTTGTTGTGTTTGCAACGATTGTGATGTACTTGGAACAGGATCAAATAATTTTGCGGTAACTTGTTCCTCTACATTAACTTTTAAATCAGAAACCATACGTTTGTTCACAACCGTAGAACCTTGATAATCATATAAAAATCCACCTCGAACCTAAAAAGAAATAGTTTTAATACAATGAGTATATGCTAAAGAGTTTGTATATCATATGTAATAATAAAACACTTACATGTCTAATTTGTTTGTAAATTAACATACCTTGAAAAAGACTTCTACTCCATAGATCAAAAAAAATACTACAACAATGAACAGAAGCACTGCATAACATCCATTAAAAATATGTGTATAAAAGCTCTGGAAAAATATGTTTTAATATACGTTTTAAATCATAAATCGTATCATCATACATTCATTTATTTTTACTTGAACAGTTATATTCGAAAAGTTAAAAGCAATTGTAATTAAATGAATAAATAATTTAACTTTCGTTTAATTTACCTGATCTTCTTGCGAATATATTTGAGCAGTCGTGAATTCTGCTAAAAGCAGAGAATACGTTAACACATTAAATACAACAAAACCCATAAATGATTTTGATAGAAACTGTGGTTTATCCCATGATATGTCTCTCAAATGAAATACTTCAGCCCAGAAACAAACGATTAACGAGGACCCGCTTAAAACAAGTGGATAGTATGCTGATAACAAACTTCTTGACCATCCTTCCTTGAATGCAGTCTATTGACAATATTAAACATTTATCTAATAGGATTGTGTAGTACGCCTCGAAACAATTTCTCTTGCTTTAACAAATATTTGAAATAGCAAAAGACTTAAATATGGTTAATTCACTTACTGGTGATGTAAAATATGCTCCTCTAATTACTGATGCCAGAAACACAATGAAATACAAAACTTTCTGTGTGGTAACTCTACAGGCTCTGAGAAAAGATGGTGCTTTCATCTTTTGCCATTCGGCAACAATGCACATAATAAGTTGTATCAGACACACAAATGCCAACATAAAGAATATTGTTGCAAATGCAATGTAATAACTTAAATTTGGAACATGACATTCCAATCCATCGAACTGAATCTATAAAAATGAAAATAAAAATCTAGCTTTAAAAGTACATGAACAGAAATCAAAGTATTACTATAACATTTTTATATATTACCTCGCATAAGCAAGTACCATTGTGGCATTCTCCATGTCCAGAACAATTTTCATTGCCACAGGTATTATTCCAAGCCATTATCCCAAATTTTACCAATAAAGACAAAGAATTCTGTGCACTTAAAGCAATCATTTGTTCCATAATTGCTGTATGTTGATTTGACTGTTTTTACACAGTCACAAATAAAATCTATCACATACAATAAAGACATATATTATAAATACATTAAGAAGACAATGGATAAGATAATACATACATGGTAGGAAAATCTACAGACATTGAACTCTTCTAAAGTAACAACAAAACAAATAAAACAATCTTGTATTATAGATAATGATTATATATTGTATTGTTTATGATGTCTGATGTATTAATTAACACTCTTTTGTACTATGAAGACATTTAATAAAATCTAAAATGAAAGACAACTTTTATAGTCTGTAAATATTCTGCAAGTAATAGCATCAATTAACGAAAATTCCAATAATATCTACAGATTATAAGTTAGATTACACAAAAGATTGTTAGTACATACTACAAAATTAATTCATAAAATAGTATTTACAAACACTGTCATAAAGTTGAACGTAGTATAGTACGAGACGAACAAGATGAAATTAATTGGATAAAAGAATAATTTCAATGTTATTCAAACTCACTATCGAATCGTACAATCCAAGGTTGACACTTTTATTTTTTGTTAACGTTAAGTGCAATGAGACAGTCCAAGCGAAGTTACAGCCACCTACGCAACAATTCACTACTTCGTCAGTAGTTAGTGCCACTGCATTTCTAATAAATACTGACATCAGATCTAATAGATGTCATCGATGGTATATTTTTGAGCATTTTGAGGTGAAACTAACGCAAAACTATAAATAAACTGTCATCAAATTACGCATCAAAGTACCAAAGTGTACTTTATCTACACTAAAAATTGACGTTCTTGTTTCCTTGGCCAAATCCACCATTGATAATAATAGTATAAGATGGACTCGTTCAAAAAGTATCAAACGAAGACGAAATTATTGATAGAGTATCCCAATTTAATACTAATTATCAGTCAAATGATAATTTAACAGAGTTTAAATTTTCATCGTATTTATAATTGCTTAATGGCATGCTTTTTTCGCAAACATGTTCTTATTTTTACATATTTGAAGTATAATGTATACGTCATACAGATAACGTTTTCAATTTGATGTATTTCAACAATTTTTCTCAAAATCTATTCAACTTATCATTGTTAAACAAAACTTAATACACGAAATTTAAAGAAATTGTTCAATTTTTCAACGACAGAAAATACTATTGCTAAAAGGCGAAGAACGACAAATACATATCATTTATACCAATTTCAATTAATTTTAAACTAAATACAATGAATTCCTATACATTTTATATAAAAAATGTTTCTTCTTATGTAATGTAAAAACGCATGAGCTACGTATATTAAATTGTAACTAATAATACAAATTTATTACTTTAAGAACACATAGATCCGTTACGTATTCATTTCGGAATACACCAATACGTAGGAACTCTCAGTTTGTAAGTTCGTGAACAATTTCCAGCAGTTTCTTAGGCGGTGCATAGCTCCTGAGTACAGTATCGACATCGATTTATAAAAAAGTATATAGTTTAAAGTTTATTAAAGTATTTTGTTATTTCATTTATAAAAAGTATGTGTTCCTTTAAGTTCCCTGAATCTTTTCACCTTTAAGTCAATTAGATTTATTACATTCTAAGAAATATTAAATGTTATATAATATTTATTTTACTACTACAAGTATGTTTAACCTGTCATAAAACAATATATTGATTACTTAAAAGTATAAACTATTTAAAAATATACATTTTTTTATATTTTATCTATTAAAATTGATTACATAAATTTTATTGATCTGTCATGTATGATATTCAAAATTATCAATTGCATGTTATTGAAAAATATTGTTAATGCAAAGTATTGTAATTAAGTTAATAATTAATTATATTTTTATTTCAGATGTCGGAATCACGGTTAGCAAAACCTAATCTTCGTAATTTTCATCTTATGCGTGCTAAAAGAAATTTACCAATCGTGTTAGGGCTATCTGTTTTGAGTGGCCTAGCCTACAAAGTGATAATAAGTGATCCGTTTGACAACAAAGTGACGGACTTTTACAAGTAACCAAAATTTTGTGATGGTTATACTTATAGGCCTTTTGATTTTTAACTTGTAACATAAATATTTTGTTTAATTTTAGAACTTATGATCCAGAGGTAGCATTGAAAAAAATGAATGATGCCGGACTTATGCAGTCTCACCCTATAAATTAAATACCACAAATGAAAAATTAGTGCTAATAAAGAATTCCATGTATGAAGTTATGTACATATTTAATAAATAAATCTATTAGAAAATCACACTTTAGATGTACATTTGTAAGGTTGATGAAACTTATATAATCCTGAAGTTTGTTGAATAACATCTTTATTATGTTGGAAGTATTGTTTATGATACATGTACTTAGTATTTAAATTATTATTTCTTTATATGTATCACATTTATTTATAGTAATGCATTTTGGAAATATAAACTAAAAAATGTATTTTGTAACTATTATATTTAAAATTCGTTTCTTATTGCTTCAATAAATATTTTAAGTAAATACACTTGAAGGATATACCTACAGAAAAAATAAATGTTTCAAATTATTTCTTGTAATAAATGCATATTTTTTTTTTTGGAACCGACGATATTTATTCGTATATAAAAGTAATATATGTCGTAGAACACTGAAAGTTGTAATAAATTACTCGTATCAAGTATGTGTATTATGTAAAATATGAAATAATGTAAATTGAAATACAATATTTTTAAATGCAGTAAGAAAAATTAAACTCCATAAATATAAATAGTGATAGGTTAGGAAATTTCAATGTTAAAATGATTGGCAAGATGGCGCCTCTCAAATACCCAGCGTGCCCCGCGCGATTGATTTGCGCATGTCAGTTGTTCGCATTGCAAATGGCGGCTCCTTGTTATTGTTCATGGCGTTTTATGACTTGTCCCTTTATATTACCGATTATGTCGAGTTTTTTCGTGATTCCTACCGTGCGCTGTGTGCAGAAAGTGAAGTAAGACTAGCGCGGCATATTTTAGATTAAAATTAGTGCTCCTGTGGTGTGGCTGCGTGCATTTTGGACGCGAGAAATCCCGCACGAAGTTGGAAAGAAATGGGGTAACGTTAAAATTTTCTTGTGTTCATACGGTATCGAATCGTTCAGTGCAAAGACTGAAGTGAGGCTCGTTGGCTAGTGTGCCATTCGTTATCGAATTTTAACTTTGTTTTGGTAAGCATACGCAATTAGAAAACATGTAGGAAAGCTGCGAAATAAAAATGTTCAGACTTTTGACGGTCTATCTTGAGCATGCTTGAGACCACTTCACGTACACCTCCCCCGACGGACAAAATGGTGGCCCCCCGATATCCAGTACTCTGGATGCCTATTTTGCCGAAAATCATTATGGAAATTGTTAAAATGAATTATTTCTTTATCAAAATACTAAATTCCGATTAACACAACAATCGACGTTTCGCATCTGGTTAAGAAAAGTATTCTATAACCTATTTTCTTCCATATAGAAGTTGTGCCCCCGTCTTATGGCCCAAAAGATTTTAATTGCAGTTCGTGAGTGGTAAGACTTAATCCAAAATCGTTTACTTTATATATGTCTGCCGATTCTGTAAATATTGATCAAGTAATTGATGTTAATTGTATATTTTTTTCATTAATCCCTATAATTTGATGAAAATCAAGATCAAATTATAACCTAAATAGTAATGCTCGTTGGCCTCACTTTTTGTTTATGCACTATGTTTTCGTGAGTGTTTTGTTTCGATAACACTTGTCAATTTTATGTTTAGATTTTATATGTTCGACACTGCATTCAAATTTATACAATTATTTTCATCTTTTTAACCACTTAATAATTGAATTTAATATTTCTAACATTTTTTTTTAATAAAAATATTTATATAGTTTATACTTTTGTAACATCGCTATAATCATTTTTATGCAAATATTTAGCTATTCCTTGAACTATAATTTGTAAATTACTGACACAGTAAAATAAAATCATATTCAAATTTAATATCACTAATTGAATAATTACACTTATGAAAAATTTAAATAAATCTTTCTTTTTATTTTTATTTGGTTATTTGTATTAAGTATAGTATTGTTTTACTATTATTTAATAGCTATTTACCAAGTTTAATTACAGTTTCATTCTGAAGTCGTTTAATATTATTTGACTGCTAATATATGTATGTTTTAATTTTAATATTAACATATGTATATTGATAATTATATTAAGTTTTCAGATGCATTAATTGTTCATTCGTATCTTGTTAAAATAAGTTTAGAATATAGTTACATATTAATTTATTTATTTTTATACTTGTAAGGTATTATATTTCCATATATTGTTTTTAAAATTTATCTATCATATTTTATATTACTCACTTTAAATTTTTTAATATAATTGTATAGTAAATAAACAATAACTATATTATTCTTATACTGATAAATATACTTAATGAGAAATGCTATAGTTAAGGCATACAGTGTATGATTATATTTTAAATGCTAACTGATTTCTTAATAAATAGTTTTAAATATTTTACATTTTACAAATTAATTGCTTATAGACCAAAGGTTTATAGATTTTTTGTATTATAATATTTGTATTTTTGTATGTCGAAGCAAAGTAGTATTAATTTTACTTTAAATCATAGATGCATTTCTACAACAGTGTTAAACATAATTATATATTATATAAATTTTCCGTTTATATTATAATATTATTTAATAAAAATGTGTTATTTTGTCCCATAGAAACATTAAGCATATTTATTAGTGCTGGAGTGGTTTGGAGCTGTCGGTTTAGAACCGACGGACAAACATCCTATCACCACATACCATAGTGATACCCTGAGGCGTTTGTAAGCTCTCTGGGTAGTTATGTGATTTGTAGTTGGTAAGTATGAAAATTTGTTTTTCATTTATCATAGTACATTTGATTGTATTATTTACTACATTGTTTTAAATAAATATCAGTGGTTGTTTACTTTGTATTTCTATTAGTCAAGATTATAGTATAATATGATATTTATTATTAATTTTTTATAAAAACAAAATGAATTATTTTAGATTTGATTTATAATATAATATAGTCCTTACAGTAAATTGATTAAAAACTTTTATGGAATTAGAATAGTAAAATTATTTAAGTCAATATGACATCAATTTATTATACATTTTAGTCATGGCGGCTGATAGTGATGGTGATCTGATCGAGACGGTGGTAACGTGTGTGGGTGACCTAGAAGATCCTGAGTTTCCACACAAGTTTAAAATTATTGTCGATCGACTTAAATCTTTGCTTTGCAAAGGTAATTTTTGCATACAAGAGTTATTCTAAATTTTCAAATTAAAAATAGTATTGATATTGACAGTATATAACAACAATGTTGGTTAATTACATTATTTTATAATTTATAGATAAAGGGAATGGTTTAAGAGTAAACAAAGTAGAGCCATGGAATTCTGTCAGAGTCACATTTTCAATACCCAGAGAAGCTGCATTACGTCTTAGAGAATTAGCAGCTCAGGCTTCTCCGACGCTTACACAGCTTGGAATTCTTTCAGTGCAGGTTGAAGGAGATCAGGTAATACATGTTCATTAATATAAATTAGTCAAAATGTTTAAAATTTGATTACTGTCTATTTAATACATATTTCATTAATTTGAATTCTTTTTTGTTGTTAAATGTTCATTAATATAAATTAGTCAAAATGTTTAAAATTTGATTACTGTCTATTTAATACATATTTCATTAATTTGAATTCTTTTTTGTTGTTAAATGTTTAATTAATACACGTATTTGGTATATTAGGTAATATCATTGAGGATAGCCAATCGCTTTAGTGGAGAAGCACAAGAAATTGTGTTACATTCAGGACCCTCGCAAGAAAGTGGTGCCAAATCTCAAAATGAACCCACTAGCAATACAACTAATGTTGACAGTGATCCTCAGACAGCTTTACCTGGTCCAAGTAATACATCTAGCATTTCTTCAGCATTACGTAATGTGGCTCAAATAATAGCAGCTGGTATGTTACTATATATTGTATAAAATTAAAATTCTTTCCTTTAAATATGTAAAATTTTCTGAATAACCATTATGTTATTTCAGGTACATCATCAGAGAAAACTCCACAATTTCGCTCTCCAAATGTAGTTGCACCTACGGACTGTGATCCCATCCCATCGTTTCTTACAAAATCTGTACAGTCGACATCAGGCAATAGCAATGTTGGTGCCTCTGGAAATCAACCAGTAACTAATTCTAGCACTTCGCCCAGGAGTAATTATAATGGTCCATTCCCATTTGCCAGTATGACACATGCTGCCCAAGCAATACATAGTCGCGAATCACAAGCAACTACAATTAAAAATGCTATCCAATTTAAGCATCATGTACAGCCACCTCCGCCTTATCCTGCTCAAGAGAATTTGGCGACAGTAACAACATTAACAACTGGCCATACTACTACTCAATCAGTTGCATCGGTTGGTCAGTTGACGAATCAGTACAAGTCATCGATTACCACCACATCTAGTCTGTCACCAAACAATAACAAGCTGACAGGAAATTCAAATGGTAATGGAAATCAAGTTGCTCTCTCCAGTCCACTTCTTGTAAATCTTTTACAAAATGATGCTGGCGCACATCCGAACAATGTGATACCTGGCCAGAAAATGTTGCCACCAGCTGTTATTGATAGTTCTGGAATTACTAATCGTATGAGACCTACTAAAAAACCAACAGTTAGAAGGAAAGATTTAACTTCACCTAGTGAATCTCCACCAAATTTAGACTCGCTTAGGACAGAAGACCTCATTGGAGGGACATCAGTCATTCCTGATCTATCTCAATCTTCTACGTCTGCATTTGCAACTGTTAATGTTAATCAACCTTCGACTATTCCTCAACAACTTCCGATCAATGTAATTGGTGGAACTGGGCAAACTATGACACAACAAATAGTTCATCAAACCTCTACTAGTGGACAAATACAACAGTCTGCATCTTCGTTGCATGCTCAAGTACAAATACAACAAAAGTTTCCCATTAGACAAGAATTGGCTTACAGGCCTTCACAAGTACAATTGCAAGGTCAACTTCCGATCAGGCATCCGGTTAATGGACAACAAATTCGAACACCTTTGCAGCAACGACAACTGTTACTTCAACAACAACAACAGCATCAAGTTTTAACTCAGCAACAACAGAACATAAATACTTCGCAATTGCTTACACAACAAGCTTCAACGCAGCAGCAACCTTTGGTACAGCAACAAACTGTAAATACATCGTTACAATCTACATCAGTTTCCAATCCACCACTTCTACAACAGCAACAATTAATGCAGCACTCTACGGTAAACATTAATGTTCCACAACAACGGCTAAGTTACTTAAATAATCAACGGCAACAAACTCCTCCTCCTTATTCGCGACAACCGGTTCCACCGCAGTCTCATTTAGGACAGCAAAATCAAGCTTTGAACGTGCAACAACAATTACATCATAATCAACTTAAAAACATGAATGTTAATACCAGTAATACGACCGATTTCCGATATGGACAAAGTCAAAATATTCTCAGTAGAAATTATCAGGCTGCACCAAGTAATGCTAATGGGACCACGTGGAACGCACAAAATACTTCTATTCCACAAGGTGCTCAAGTCAATACTACACGTCTGCCAACTACAAATCAGGTTTCAGGTGCCTTTTCTCAATGTGGATCTCATCCTAATCACGTTTCTACCAATAATGTCGCTTCGCCTGTTACCAAGGTCGAACCATCGCAATCTCCTAAACACGAAGAAGAGACACCTGAACCAGAATATACGTCAACTGGTAAAATACGACAGTTTCTCATTAACCCTCTAACCGGGCATCTGGAACCAATGCCTAGTGAGAGTTCAGATTCGGAACCGGAAAGTGCGGTAGATAACCAAGATGATTTCTTTTCCTTTCCATCCCCATCGAATGACCGATCAAATTCCATATTTTCTGACGACGATGCAGACAGTAATTTCTCAAGAAGAAATGATACAACAACAAATACAGATCAATCAGATTCCGAAACCACAGTGAAATCTACCGCCAGTGAAGGAAGTTTAAAACACAGTAGAATAAAATCCAATAGAGACACTACGCAAAGTCCAATGCCTGGAGAAAAAATCAAACTAAGACTAAAGTTGGAAAAATCTGAACCTGTTACACCAGCTTATAAAGTTGATGTTTCTTTTGTAAACACGCCACCAATTAGAAAAGCCGATAAATCAGTAAATAAAATGTTTACCGCTGGTATTCCCAATTCTGGAACCGGCGATGAACCAAGAGTGCCTCCATTACACATTTCCTTAAGAGGACGTAATGCTTCGGTAGTACAAATCAGAAAAAAGGAAAAGAAATCATTAAAGGATGGCGAATCTGATCCAAGTAGTGTAAAACGGCGAGGCAAGCTAAAGAAAATGAAGGAGTGTATAGACGGGAACAAATTATTGCAAAAAAGGTCATCTTTAAGTATGATTATAGGTACATCATCTGCATCCAAATTACCTTTATCCAATTCTACAATTATCAACAACAGCACTAATGCTATTAGCAAAGTCAACAATCTACTCCAAACTGTTGTGTCGAAACCTAATGCCTTAAAACAAGAATTACCGGTAGATGTACGCGTTCAAACCGGAATTACAAAACCAAGTTCAAGTAAAAACAGTGATGTCGATGATATTCCATTAAACAGTAGAATACCATCTCCTTCAAAACATAAGTCTACTGTTTTAAATCAACCTTTAAATACGCAACAATCTTTAACAAAAAATCAAGTTGAACTAGATGTCCAAAACCATATGCAAGAGCATAAAATAGGAGGAGGTAAGATACATGTTATGCTGTATTTTATAATAATTATAAAAGTATGAATTTATTGTAAAATAATGTATTGTATTTACACTTTTTAAAAATATTACTTTTCTACGTGTTTGATTAATATTTATACATAATTTTACAGGTAAAACCAAAAGAAGAGACTCTAAAAAGAAATCAGAGTCAGGAGATGGTTTACATCGTGAACAAAATTTGTTATCCGGTGGTAGAATTTTGGATAATCAAGCAAAATGGAGAAAACTTAATTACAAGGGCGATTCAAACCAATCGTTAAGGAAAACCGACGTTCTTTTGGCTGGAAATGATTTCAATGCAGTCAAGAAAGTGGGGGAAATTAGAAGAACGAGCGATAGCGACATTAATAGATCAGCAATTGAAAAGAATAATACCTTGAATGCCATTGCTTCTAGATTAACAGAAGTAAATGGCGTAAAAAAGGATCTAATTAGTCAAGAGAAAAGAAGAAGATTAAGTTTAATAGATGAAAAAGATCTGCACTTAGGAGGTAAATATAGTGCTTTTGTTTCTATTTTCTTATTTTGATCGAATGTTATATTTTCATAATTTTATACAATTGTTTTAATATGTATCATGAAATTTCTTTTCTTAATTAATTCTTTTAATTATGTTATAGAATCTCAAGATGCAGAGGCCACACACTTTAGTAGTCAGAAGACTGTTCCGGAATGTTCTTCTGCTAATGCTGTTTCAAATATAAATACAAAACCTGTCAACAAACCATCATTTGAGAATGAAAACTCTGGATTAATACCTTCAAGTATGCCTACGCAAAATGATTCGAATTTATCTACCAATCTTGAAAATAAGGTATCTGCACATGTAGAAACTGCTGTAAAAACTGCACAGTCATCTGTAAATAGGATTATTTCTGGGAAAAGTAAGACAGATACAGATACTTGTAAGACAAATTCTAGCATGGTAACAAAAAATCAAAGTATTGGTCAAAAATTAAAAAACCATATGGTTTTAAAAAGTGATACGCATGCTGCAATCAACAGGCATAGTAAAATAGATCATTTTGGACACAAAAGAGTGATTCAAAATCATATGAAACAAGTTGATAGATCTGCAGCAGAGAACAAGGTGGATAGTACGCAAAGAATTAGTTTGTTGAAAACTACACAAGCTTCGGTAATAGGAAACTCAATGGACCAAGTTCCCAGATCCCAAAACATTGATTTACCTATCAACAAACCAACTTTACCAATTGGAGAAATTAATGTAACAGAAGCAAAAGTTAAACAAAAGTTGCTTGAAACTACTGTTCCAATTGCAATTGGTGTAGATGCAAGCACAGAAAGAGTTAGTAGCGGAGGAGGTGGTGAAGATTCAGGCATCGAGTCGATGGATGCTCTTTCAGAGAAGTCACCAAACCAAGGAGAATCTCCTTTGCACAGGCCAGCAACCGAATCAGTAACGCAAAGCAGCACAAAGGCTGCTGTTCAAGGGGAATCTTCCCTATCAACCACCAATAAGAACGTGCCTTCCTCAACTAGTAGTAGTGATATGTGTTCAAATTCCCATTCGGAACTTCTGAAGTCCAGTGGCCCACAAAGGTTAAGTCCTGTATCCGTAGCAAGTTATCTTGAAAATCATATAAGTCGCAATATATCAAACTCCAGTGAACATGATACAAAAGATATACCTAGTGAAAAATCTACTTCATCAACATCAAGAACTGGTGGTCATAGTGACTTGGTTGCTAGTTTAGAAGTGACTGATAATGATAAAAGTGTATCCAGTCCTCTGGTGACAGGATCAGTGACTATTGTGACAACTCCTGTACCCGGTAATGTGGATAGTGATAATTTATTGCAATGCGCGCAGCAGCAAACAAATGACTTTTCTGAGAAAGACAATTGTAGCATTAAGTTAGAAGGTTCTATTAATCAGCATGATCAGGGTAAGACAAATATTAAACACGAAGTGTCACATGCCCCCGAGAGTGCATTCGAAGACAATGTAAAAACAGTCATAGATGGTAACAGTGCAATTAGGTTAAGCAACGAACCTCATGGACAAAATAATAATGGTGTGCCTGTAATACAAAATCATGTTGCTTATAGTAATGTAAAGACAGAAAAACTTGATAATACAGTTACAAACGAGGCTAGCACAGTGACAGACAATTCATGTTCCAATAGTCAGAGTTTTGGTTCTGAAATCAAAGTAGAATCTAAAGTAAATACAAAAGTTGATGATACAAGGCAAAATGATCGGTCAGATACTTCAAAAAGCTCTAGCATTTCTTTAAGCACAACAACCATTAAGTTAGAACAATGTTCCGATCAAAACCAAAAATCTAATGTACAAAGTCATCAACAAATATCAGTTAGAGAGCCTTCTATGAATCTTCAAAAAGTTACAGACGATTTGGTTAAGAAAATTGTAAATGATGCAAGTGATATAAGTATAGGTATTCAATCACCCCTGGGTGAAGATCCTCAGCCGATTAGAATTACCCCACCATTGTATACATACTCTAATTCGGTAGTTTTACAACGAGACGAGACTCCAAGCCCAGCAGCACAAAATCCAGAAGTGGATTCTAGTGACGTGGAACATGTTAAAAGGAAGCGCAGAAGAAAACAGGAACTAGAGGGACGGCAGGATGTCATATGTATAGAAGATAATGACGAAGCACAATTTGTGGAAAGGTTGAACTCTAACAATTCAGATGACTATGTTAAACGACCACCAAAATCATTGTTGGAACAACTTCTAATAGAAATTCCAAATGACACTAATGAGAAAAGATCTTTAAGAACAAGATCTCAAAAATTAAACAGTCCTGATATTGTGAAGACTCCAAAAAGTAGTCCTCATGGTCCTAATAAATTAGAAGAAAGACGCAGCATATCACCATATGCTAAAGCAAGCCCTAAGTTAGGAGTGTCAAAATTATCTCCTAATACGACAATAAAAGTCGGGAAAAGAAAACGCCAAGAAAGCGAAAGTTCTGTAGCATCTAGTACTGCTGATGATCCACAACCAAGACCAGGAAAACGGAAATGTTCCGAGAACGCCGCAGAACTTATTAAAGCTTGCATGGGTGTAGATGAAACTGGTTCTTTAAAGAAACAAGTACCTGTCAAAGAAGAACAGTCGAAAAAAGGATTCAGCATATTGGCCAAGGCCAAGAAAGGTGTTTATTCCATTTTATAATTCACTGATTTAGTAATATGATTTGGCGTACTAATGTATTTACAGGCTGTTCTACTTTAATATATGCATACAGTTATTTCCCGAATTATTTCTTATTCGTAAAAATGTTTATGATGTTCAGAAGTCTTATCATTGATACCTCAAGTCGTCTTTTCTAATGCAGAGAACAAAGAATATTTTTTTAATGTTCAGCAAAGAAACAATTTATTTATAAATGACCTTGAAAAATCAAAATATCATCAATCAATAAATTCGTCTTGAAATTAACTGTAGCTTAGTTAAACAAAAGTAAAGAATTCTATTTAAAAATAAAATAAAGGTTACCTTAAAATTTTGGGGATCCTATTACTTAGATAAGACTTGTATTCATCATGAGTATTTACAGTGAAACAGAATAAGTTCAATTTGAAACATTTTTTTAGATATCAAATAGCTAGGAGGATAATTGTGTATATAAATTAAAGTGGGACACTATAGATTAGGGTCCTTAAATAACTTTATCACCTAAAATGTTTCCACTATCATTGGAATTACAAACAAATGTTTTCTGCAAAATGTGTGGGATCATTATAGGATATGAACATTTTCAATTTAGATGGATCTATTAAGAATATACTAGAAGCATACTTTCATGTGTTTTCTTTTGTTTATGAATACCTAATAAGAGCTTTAAGATCTAATAATCAGTTGTATGCAAATCTTTATTGTTCTTGCATGTAGAAAAAAGCTACTACAGAAAATATATTTTTCTAATTTCAAAAATATAATAGCGATTTTTCAGGTGGTACAATTATATAGGATGCCTTTGCTTGTATGTCAGTGTCTTACTTAGATATTAGATATGCATTTTTTTCACTTGTTTCCTTATAAGACAACAAGGACTGCCAAAAACAGAGAAATCAAAGTGCCAATTAAGTACAATCGATCCATACAAATTTTTGTCCACATTGGAAGTAATTGTCATTAATACATGTCAATGAAACTGAGATTATTATGATCATACATACATACATAATTTATTCGTTTCACTGATTCACTTGCATATATTATATAATCAAGTATTATACTGCTATCTCTCAATCTCAGTCATGTCTTTCTTAATTTATGACAAATTACTTTTACATTACATATTAATGTTGTGTTAAAATTGGACCTGAACATTTTGATACAAGAATTTTTGTATTTTTAGGTCCCATTGTGGTAGAAGTAGATTCGTCTGATGATGAACCATTGATTGAATCTGTAGGAAAAGCAAGAATGCGATTATCAGACGAAACATCCGCTGCATCTCCAAAGTCTAAAGATCAAAAGTAAGCAACATCGGTGCATTCTTTTAGCAGCAGTGCATATCTGAATATGTCAGAGATTTGAGAGCCCCGCTACGTAAATAAATTTTTGTTATTCTAGAACAAATACAAGCACAACTGTTTCTGGCAGTCAAATTAATTCCAGTAATATATCAAATTTCAATGCCAGTAATAGAGTGCAAAGAGAGAGCCGTTTATTAACAACCAAGCAACCAAGTACAACCGCGGTAGTTACTGCTGGAAAGGAAAGGCTGCGAGGTACTTCCGCATCCAGTAACGAATCCTTAGGAGAGGTAACAACAAGAAGGTCTGTGCGACAGAATACAGCATCGCCACTAGCAACACCAGCGAGCAATACAAGGGGTGCAACTAGATCTACAGAAGATATTACTAGACGGAAAACTCGAAGTGGTGCTGGTATGTAAAATGTTTAAATACACTTATAAGTGTAACTTATTCATTGATCAAATAAATATTCACACTCTTTAAAAATTCTTTTTTACGTTATTATATATATATAGGCCGAAATTTTTATTTTGATATGTTATATAAAAATTTAAAGTTAATTGATCCTTGCATAAATATTTATGACAGTATAATTTATACATTATGTACTTCACATACCATTTTAACTGAAAACACCTCGTACAGCGGGAACATTGTTTTAGTAACAGCTGAGGCAGCAGAGCAGGCAAAACGGAGGCGAATATCCCGAGAAAACAAATGACCTTCGGGAAGTGACCTTGACAGTGATTAGCTACCGTCGCTCGTCAAGGCATGTCCGACTGATTATGTATCTGTTATAAATGGTTATGTGATCGCCGTGTGGCTGGACCCCACCTGGTGAAACTGTTTGCGTCAATAGCGCACAATGCTGATGTACATGTAGCAGGAGTATCGTGTTTAGAGTGCTGGATGGTATTCAAATTTTTTGTTACAATAGAACATACGTTGGATTTCATTGAATTAAGCGTGTACATGTTATATTCCATAATATTATCACGAGAATATTAGAAACGAATTTCTAGACACTTAGGATACCACAATTGTTATGTTTTTAAATGTTTAAGTAGCTTGTCGAAAAAGTAAAAAATAAAAATAACTTTACTATTTTTTTGGCCGTCTAGCGTTCTCAATTACACTGTACTCCTAAACAGCAAAGTTTAGTTACTCAGAATAATCTGCTCAATGCATAAAACTTTAAACTAAGTAACTGAACTGATCTAAAACTGCCGAGTCGATGTGTAACTTTCTTTTGCCAAACTTTTGTGACCCTGTATTTAAGTTTTAAACAAAATCTAAATGAACGTCATTTAATGGTAAATTTATTAAATATTCCGTTACATGATCAGTATCTTCAAAATATTTGAATCGACAGTGTAATGTTATTAGACTCCAATTACAGTAAACATTTAATATTTGTATTATTTAGTTAAAACCAAAAAAAGATTCGTGTGGTATACAAATCAATTTACATTTGCAGGATGTATCATTTATTCGATATTGTTATTAGGGATTGCTAATACAGGTTAATAATGGTAAAAGAAAGTCGAAATTTATAATGCATTAAACATAAAATCTGACTGTACTGCCGTAAATAATGTACATTTCTCAAAAACAAATTTCATTAACTGGTGGGGCTGAAGTCGCTACTCTGACAACTTCACTGATAGACTTTGTTTGAAAATATTAGTTTATATTTGGAATTTATTTTAATCAATTTATTACATAAATATTTTTACACGTAAATAATTATATGCGAATGGAAAGACTCTATAATAATTACATACACTATTCATCATTAACCTAAACAGTACATTCTCTTTGCGGATATAAATCGAAATACTTCTTCGATCCATGTATATTCATAACAAAGACTTCTCAAAAATATTTGTAGGACAATCGTACTTTTTTATATATTTACACAATGAAACTCGCATCTATTCAAAAAACTTTACTTATGATACCCTATAATTGATGATTTTATTGAATTTGATAAAAATTATGTCGTTTATAGTACTACAAGATCTCTATTTTTCTTGTCCCAGTGAACATGGTCTTTCAGTGGGAAGTTCGTCTTGAGTTACAATATTGCAGAGAGCAAAGGATATATGGTTATTAAAAAAGGATTTATTTTATTTATGAAACATAAACAGAACGTTGGGATAAATCGAGCATAAATATATGAAAATAATAGGAATAATTATTATAGAAAAACGATTAATACAATGTTAATTTGATAGGTAATATATGAATGAATATATTTTGTAAATAATTTCTTGTAAAGATACGTAAAACACCCCTCGTTGTAAATATAAGAACTGTTTAAATTTTTATTAAATTAATTATTCAAATTGTGCAACTTCGTCATACTATTAATTAATCTTCGTGATTGTGCACTGAAAACTCAAGTAGCACCTTTTTGGCAACACTTAAAAAATATGAGGATGTGTATACATACGTACATATAATATTGTATATGTATGTATGTATGTGATGTATATGAACTATTGTTTTTGTGAACAGATAATCTAGTTTTATATTGTATAAATGTAAATTATACGATTGAGAGTAGGAAGTTCTTCGTGAGCCTATGATAGCCATCATAGCACTTCTTTATATTGAAAACTTGCATTTAAAAAATTTTACTGCTAATTTACATTAATTTTTCTCTAATTCTGTTGCGTACCTTCCACTATTTTCGTTAAGTAAAAGATGTATTTGCAAATTAATTATAAAAAAAAAATATTATTACGATTGTTTTATATTTAATTCTTTTCTATGACATAGAATCTTGTTAAAATTATATCGCGGCCGATTTCTGAGAATTGTTAAATTCGTTAATGCATGAAAAATAAATAAACCTGATCTTGCTTTAAAAAATATATTTTCATCTCTCCAACAAAAGCTTTTGGTTCTTTGTTCTTTCAAAATCATTAAATTTTATGAAATATTTTGAATAAAACATTTTTTTTTATATTGTTTATTAAAGCTTTGGTGGCTATCAGGCAGTACATCATATTTCAAAGGAATATTTCTGTCATATGAATGTTGAGTACTGAATTTAATAATATTTTAAATAGGAAAAATTTTAACAAATTTATCCATTGCATTAAATCATAACTACTCTGGATTACAATTTTGTTAAATTTTTTTTCTATTTTTAATATTACATTAAATTATTTAGAACATTACTTGTCTAACAGAATTTATTTCAATGGATCTTAAATTACATATTGTAAATAGTAGCATGCTTATTTTACATGGTGGGAACTTATGCTGTACATAAAACGTATAAAGAAATGAATATCCAAATCGCGTTTAATTTGATTCAGCCCTATATTGTAATGGAATGATATACATATAATGTAAAGTATAGTAATTTAATAACAGAATTTAAGTAAGAGCAAGAAAGAAAAGAGTTGTAATTTCGATGTAAAATATTCTCTTCGATGCTAGATAAGTAAGCTAGGGATTATTATGTTACAATTTTATCATTGAATATTACATTTATATGATTGTATAGATTATAAACAAACCAAGTTTTGTGTGTAAATATAAATATTTTAAAGATAAGTAAATCTTTCGCATGTTCACATAATTAAGGAGCTTCTAAAGTTTGTCTGCCATATAATTGCATATAGTATGTATTTATTGTAATAAAAATAATACTTATACACCAAAGATCATGGGTTGGTTGTAATATGTAACAATTGTTGATATTCAACACAATTAAAAAAAATGGTGTATTTGTGATGCTCAATAAACAATTGGTGTTTATAGTGTGGTTTGTAAACACATTTAACATACCACCGTTTTTGTGCAGACTATAATAATTATGCCAAGTAAAATGTTCACTTTAGTGCCCATTTATACATATATGTAACGAATGCATTACAAGCTCCTTAATTTTGTTTGCAATGCCACAAATATTTTATCATGTACATGAATGTGCGTTTTAAGATCACCAGCTACAAATGAAGTTTGATGACTTTAAAACCTGCTATATGCAAACATTTGTATTTTTAGTATTCGGTTAATTGATATAAATAGCAGTAAAAGTAAATAATTGATAATAATCCAACTGGATATATAAATATATAAATATATAAATATAAAAAATTAGATACAATACTATATTTGTAGAAAACGATTGAGCACGTGAAAAGAAAATCACGCTATAATTATAAAAAAAATATTATAATTATATTATTACCTATTATTACACAAAGTGGATACACAATATAGTAATTTGCTAATTGTACCTTTTAATAATTAATGTAGACACATTGATGAAGAAGGTTTTTTTCTTGTTATTAATTATTACCATAGACTTAAAAGATAATGAAAAATGTGTTATAAAAAATGCAATTGCTTATTTTGTATCATACCCAGTTTCATGAATTACTCTAATATTCTGTGTGCATATTTGTCAAATCAAAACAGTTTTACCACCATTTATAATACAGAAATACATTCTGTAGTTGTATGAATTTTTCCAGTTTTAATTTTACGATAATCACTTTGTGATAGGAAAGTAAACAGCATTTTAAAAACACTTGCTACTAAAGCCCTTAAATTTAAAAGATACCATACAAGATTCAAGTTAATATTTCTGTATATTTTTAATATTATGATTACATCATTGTGTTCACCTCATAAGGAAATATAACAAAGTAAACTATATAGTAACATGTCTACTAATACAAATTCTTTTCTAAAATATTTTATGAAAGATGTCAACATGTACAAAGTAAAGAATTTTCTTATTTTAAATATTTATGTATAGCTACGTCCAGTAAGTAAAGTTACTAATTATATTACAAGAATTCATAAATTTCATACATCTTTGTCTGTCAAAGATATCTAATATTACATAAATTTTTATAGACCCATTTATTTTAAAGCAAACTATGTATTAAAGTTTGCTAATGATGTATAAAAAAATAATTTCTCAATACATTCAATTATTTTATTAAACATCTCTAATTTGAAATAATACATATATGACATTAATTTGTAGTCTAAAACTCTTGCAAATCATTATGAAGAGAAATAAAAGTAATAATAATTTTCTTTTTTTTTTTTATAAAGCATCTGTTTAACTTCTTGATAGTCTTATTTAAGTAATTGTTAATGTTATTAATAAATATTCATATAATTCTTAGAAAGAATATAATCCGATTGTTTGTTCGTTTTCGATTTGTAGAAATTGAATTTTTTTGGATACTATATAAATTGTCATAAAGCTTAAACAAGATTCATCATTACTATGATCGAAGTCCTCGATATGTTTTTTCTCTTGCCTTTCCGATGCCATTTAGGAAGGAAATTAATAAATAAAAATAATATAAATGCTGACAGATCGTTGTAATACGAAATGTAATTGCTTCTATCTGAAAACGTGTCTAAAAGAAGTGTTTAATCATAAATAAAATTTTTATATTTCGATCATCGTTAAAATGGTTATAATGCAACGTGCCGATGTAAGTGAAGCTGTTGGAACTTTTTGACATACATATGTATGTAGCACGATGATCAATGTGTTTATCTGCTGGGTTTTATTACTACCATTAATTGTATAATTATATTTTCAAATTGGTATTTTTTTTTTACAAAACTATATAAATATTTATCATTCATTTTGAACGATTTTCATAATTAGCAAACAAATGCAAATTATCTGCAAATATAATTCATACACTTGAATGAATTAGGGAAATAAATATGTCTGTAATTAAAAAAGTGACCTAAGACATATATTTTATATATCGCATATAGATATAGTATAGATCAATGTAACACAAAACAAGAAATAAATTAAATATTTTCAAATTTGTTACTTATGTCACTTTTATAATTTCTGACGCATATATGTTACTGTGATGTATAAACTATAAGAAATGTAAAAACTTTTTAGTAAATTTATATACTACATAATAGAAGTTGACGTAAAAATATACGCTAATCGTATCTCTATGCTATTTTAGCAAAGTTGTGTATAGTTACAGTATCTGATGCATTTCAGTAAAAACGTACTAATAATTTTATAAAGATTGTTCTTTAAAATATATATGAAACGTAACACAGACCAAAAATCATTCATGTTATCTTCGAGGTTATATCGGATGATGATATATATATATATATGTTATACTGACAAGTTTCCAATCAGATAATCAGTTTACTATCTTTTAGTAAAAATTTCAGTATCATTTATAATGTATGCATTTATAAAGTTTACATAGGGTGTGTTCGGTTTAGACGCTCACTCATTTTAAATATTCATAATCATCACCATACTCGACTCTAGTCGAGTTTAAGATGTTCGTATGGTTGAAATTTTAAATCTTTTTTTTTAACATTCTAATGCTAGGATATGGTAAATTTTGTTTCGGAATTTCTTTATATTCTTTTGAACCACAAACTATGGTACAATTACTCCCACTTGAATTCGTACATTATAATGGTGATTCAGTATAAACGAAAAGAAATTTATTTCTTATGAATTCTTTTCTATTTATTTTCACCAAACGTTTTAACGGGCTTGTAATGTCCAGTTACAAAACTTATAAAGAGGTATACTAATATAAACAATATACAAAAATCAATAATACTTGGTGATACCAAGCGATCAATCAAACGAGAACCGGTGTTTTCAACGTGGCATAACCGTTGATAAATTTTTTTTTTAATTTATTAAAATATAAACCCATAAATATCTTAATGTATGACAAATGAATTTATAGCAATTTTAAAAATAAAAGCTCAATTCATAAGAAATAAGTTTCTTTTCATTTTGTAAAGTGAATCATCATTATAGTGTACGAATATAACTGGGAGTAACTGTATATCCAGAAATCTTTTATTACAGTATCACCACTATCACCTGACACCATGATCTTTGGGTGTACCTATTTCTAAGAACTTTATTTGATCTTCATTAAACACTTTGATTAAATTATCTTCCTTCTTACCTAAATGTTTCTTGTAAAATCCCTTCTGCTGCATTTTGGTAGATATCTTTAATATGCTGAAGGTAGATAGTGTTTTCTTTCTTTGAATTTAGCATAGTTTGCAATGATCTTAAAATTAATTTTCATTTAGAATCGAATCTTTGAACTCCAATAAAACAGGCCATATCGAAATAGCTTTATTTGAACCTCAATATGATCATTTCCTTTATTCTGTACAATTTTGTTTATAACTGTAAACGAGTGTTTGGACTACATCAGTCTTAATAATTTTCTAATGAATTAAATTGTTAAATTTATCTGTGCATAAGGCACAAATTCGTGTTACCTGGGTTACCAAGGTACTATAAATATATGTCGTAACCAAATCGCAATTAAGGGGTAGGACACATGGTCATGGTCGCTCCGGTGTTTTAATAAAGCATTTATTTTGTATTGTAGTAACTAAATAATTTCTATAAAAATGAGTATAGATCAGAAAAAGATAAACGATAATTCAGAAACAACTAAAGTCATGGAGCATAAAGAAAGAAAGAAACGACGTGCAAACGATCATATGGAGGTATAAAGTTAGGTTATATTGAACTATTTTAGATATAAATTTATTATTCACATAATAAATATTTTATTTTTCTCGTTCAATGGATTTGCATCTTTGGTCATATATTTTTTCAGGTTGAAGTAATCGATGGTATAGAAGGTAAAACGAAACCACATACAACTTTAAAAAAGGCTAGAAATGTACAAGGTGGAGAACAAAGAAAGGTAAATGCAGTATTTTAATTTTGTTAATATAAGTTGTTTTGAATTTTTATACTGTTATTAAAATAATGTAAAATATTTTCAGATACCAGTGCCTGCACATAGATATACTCCACTGAAAGAAAATTGGATGAAAATATTTACACCTATTGTAGAACATTTACAATTGCAAATAAGGTTTAATTTAAAAACGCGAAATGTAGAGTTACGCACAGAATCAGAAACTCCCGACATTGCTAATTTACAAAAGGGGGCTGATTTTGTAAAGGCTTTTATTTATGGGTTTGAAATAGAAGATGCCTTGGCTTTATTACGACTAGATGATTTATTTGTAGAAACATTTGAAATTCAAGATGTAAAACCTTTAAAAGGAGATCATCTCTCTCGAGCGATCGGAAGATTAGCTGGAAAAGGTGGTAGGACTAAGTTTACGATAGAAAATGTAACAAAGACTAGAATTGTTTTAGCAGATAGTAAAATTCATATACTTGGTTCTTTCCAAAACATACAAGTTGCACGAAGGGCTATATGTAACTTAATTTTGGGTAGTCCGCCTTCTAAAGTATATGGGCAATTAAGAAATGTAGCAAGCAAAGTATCAGAACGATTATAAAATATATAATATAAATAAAGTACAGGTTAATATCCAATAAATTTCTTCTACAGAGTATGTGAGAAAAGTGTAAGTGGTTTTTAAAATAAGACTTTTCAAATCTGTTATACGTGTTGCGAACAAAATATTTGCATTCAGTTACAAATAAATATAATTACTTTTCAAATTGATATATATAAAATTTATTTAACTTTATATAAATATACAAATTTAAATTAAAGAAGTATTTGATACTTGTATTTCCTGGGTACTTTATTAAGGACTAATCTGCCATCATAACTCAATGATGCAAATGTCCAAGGATCTGCAGATGACCATTCAACTGCATAAACACTATCTTCGTGTTCTTCATATCTACATACGACTCCATCATGTAACCTGGAAATATGATTATATTTCACGTCATTTTAGAAAGTATTATTTTTACTCTGTAGTCAAACTATTATAATTACTTGTATATTTTGCAAGAATAGTCATTCTGTGTAGAGTCATCTTCAGGAGTTACTGTATGTCCAAATGATTCTGAAGATATTGATGCAATACTAGATAATATTACTCTTGAGTCACTGCTAGAAGTTAGAATCAATTGATCATGAAAACGATTAATTCTAATACTCCAAACCCAATGTGAATGCTCTATGCGAGATAACACTGGTTCCGTAGGCGACCGAATATCCCAGAATTTCATGTACCCATCATCTCCACATGTCGATAAAAAGTATTGACGATTTGCGTTAAAATCTAGATCTCTAAATATAAAATAGATGTCATACTAAACTGCTTTTTATTTTATAGACGATCTATAAAAATTAAATCGACAAATAGAAAATAATAAATGACTTTTCTTATTACCTAATAATTTGAGAATGAGCAGACAAAATTGTCCAAGATGGTTCAGAAGGATTTCTGAAGTCCCATCCGCGAACATTATTTTCATTTAGTGTGACAAATTGATTGCAACCATTGTGAGGATTCCATTTTCCATTTGTAAAACGTGGTTGACCTTTACTAGCTAAAGTACCAATAGTTGTAGCCTAAACAGTATAAAAGATAGAAGGTAAATAAATTTGTTTAATAGTAAATTAAGAACTATTATTACCTGTGGTTCGCTATTAGCTATATCCCATAATATGAATTTATTGTCTACAACTGAAACAACTTTTGTTGAATCAATGGTATGATAAGCGATAGTTTTGAGATCTGAACCATATGGTATCGTATTAATATCTGCTACTTTTTTAAGATCTTCAACATCATTTGTATATTCCTTTAATTCTGGTAGTTTCCAAATAGCTCCTTTCATTTGGCAACTACCGTCATCTAAATGAAGATGCGACACATATTTGATTTTTCTGTTCCATTATCCTTTGTATTACTTTTTTAATAAAAATAATTTCAGTCACAATTACCGCTTAAACTATTATAACATGTTATAAACACATTAGGATCTGTGGGTGATGCTTGTAAAGACCAAATTTCCCCAATAGGATGATGAAATACTTGAGTCTTTAAACTACCTGTTTCTTCATTAAGTTCCACCAAATGAACTTGATTATTATTAAACTTTAATGACTGTGTTCCTACCAAAAATCTAACAATGTCTGTTTCTGCTGTTTGTGCAGACAATGCTCTTGTCTATAATATTACAAAAATAATGTTACTATTGTTAATAGATTTAGCAATTTTATGTTATAAATTGCAATGTTCATAACATTTTATAGAAACGAATTCTCTCATGCTAGTAAATATTATATTCATTAATGTAATTTCAATTTCTTGTAAATAACTAAAAACATATAATAGTTGTAACATTTGTCATGTTTAATTGCATACTTGAAATTCAAGTCCGTATATTACAGGGCTATCATTTTCCATCTTTTGATACAATTCCTGTTTCAGAATAAATAAGAAAAACCTTTATTTACAATAAAATCGTAACTTAACCCTACGATCTGTCACAACAGTTTACGATAGCACAACTGCATATTGCATGTGCATCAATGTATATGTCACATTTAAGAACGAAGAACAGCTAGAGGGCACTAAAGAACTTGAACCGACTGTTGCCACGTTGTTATAATACAAATTTATTAATTAATTATTAATAAAGTGTACAATTGGATATAAAATATTTAACGATACGAAAAATTATAACTTCCACGAATATAAAACAATGTCAAAGAAAATATTCAAATTAATACAAGATTATTTGATTAATAAATTGTTGCTCGACATCTCGATGTAACGTATTATGTACAGAATAATTATGTGATTCTATATACGTGATTGTACTGAATTAAATACATTATATAAGATGTATTAAACAAGCGAAGAATTTAATTCTTTCAATAATTAAAAGACCATTAATAAATCAAGCATTAAATTTATCTGTTAGAAAGATTTATTTATAATTTAACACGTGTGTTGTAGGAAACTTCATTGAAATCGTGAACCGTGCAAACAGAGGGGAGAGATATCTGGCCAATCAACGGCTCTGTTTTACCTTCGAACTAACGAACTGCAAGGACATCTACATATTTTCGTTATCCCTGCCGTATCCCCACCACTCTATTAGCAGCTCCCTGCGTTGCTTTGCGTCAGCCGACGAGTAACCAGCCGTGGGGTCACCAGACAAATTATGTCAAACGGAGTGGTGTTACGAACGTGAGCGACTATCGGGATTCGCTGTGCTCGTACACAAAAGTATCGCAAAGTGCGCGTTCGTACGATTTCAGTGTGCCGATGCAGTTTAGAAACTGGCCGCCGTCTCATAGACTTTCGTTAAATTTGTGCTAACGTTGAATGACCGGGCACGAATCTGTGCTTTCGTATCGTCTTCGCACAAATGCACGTATCTGTATTTATTTGTTTGAACAAATCATGCTGACCCTGCAACATCAATTGTAAGTAATCGCTTGTCACATTGTTTTACCGGTTTTTTGACTGACAGTGGCAAACTTCATCGTCTATATCTAATTTACTGCTACAAAATCGTGGGATACCTGTTTCTTTTTCATGTGCTTTTTTTTTTTAATTTTTTCCTTCGTTTTTATACCAGCTAAGAACACGTCTGTTACGTACTCGAATTAGGCAAGACTAAAACAGAAAAATGAGAATGTGATTTTGAGAGTTTCGTAGTTTGATCGTGGATAAATTGAGGTTCGATAGTTTTAACAATTTGGCCGCCACTTCTTATACCGATATGTATCGTGATTTGTGGCTTTTCCTGAGATTATCGCGACGATTCTTGTTAGTTTATTCATGCGAATACTTTACTCTGACTGAAATTCAGAACAATTAGACGAGGATCGTCGATGTAACTATCGATGGTGTTACTATCTTTATATTTCATGAAAATTTTCTTGAATAATTCTAACAAGTGCATTTGCAACATGAAACAAACGACGAAATTGACAAGTGCACGCAGCATTGTTGTGTGCTGAAGTGATATAAAAAATTTGTTTACAATTTCTCCATTCGAGTAGAAGAAATTTAATATAACTCGAGTATAATAAAATCAAATTAACAATATATACGATTATTTTGAGTAAAATTTGATTTTTCAAAAACCATCTAGGAGATTACATGATATTTTATTTTCTTTCTAGGATCTAACTTAATATTGCTGGTACAGAATTATTAATGTCTTATTAAATATATAAATCGATTTTCGTTACTCAAATTTTCCATGATTATTTATATTCATTGATAATATGATATTTGATATTTATATTTCTGTAAAATATGTCTTATCAATTTTACTTTCGTATTCTGGATACATTTAGATTTTTATTTATGTTACTGTTCGATCATTAAATAATTATAAAAGATTATATGTATTGGAACTTGAAAATTAATTTAATTGTTTAGTAAAAGTAAAATTACCATTTATTTGGAACTTTGATATATTTGAAAAGTTGTTTTTAATTTTTGTCATTAATTGTTTCATTATACATCACGGATAATATAAAATATTCGCAGCGAATCAAGCGTTAATATTTTTTATACAATCCCCATTTTCTTATGTTGCCAGCGATGGCAATGAAATTTTTTTTATAATTTTATTCCGAGGTTAAATCGAGTCGATAATAATAATCTTCCTTAACCTTTAGCAATGACACTTTTTTGTTTAACGTAACTATTCATAGTATAGTGCAATGGTGTCTTCGTTTTCTTTTTTGATAAACGCGTTGAAAACATAGTCTGTTACTTTTGTAACAGCTACTAGTTTATGCAATGCTGCAATCTATGTTGGAATACTTTCGAAAGAATTAAACGCGTTTTTCATCCTATTGAAATTGGATGCAAGATTCGTGTACAGTTATCCGTTTACAATACTGTCTCGTACAAAAGTATTTGCAGATTAGACTAAGTATTATTTCTTCGTTACGTGTAATATGAATTATAATTTTTTTCTTTACTAAATTGTACGGAAATAGATGAAATCATTTATTTTTCCATGAAAGATGCAAACCATCCATGAAAGATGCAAACACGTGAATACGAAAACGTTTAGGTTATCCGTTCATTGAAATTCCTAACTCCATCAGTCATCCGAAGAAGTAAGTGGTCGTCGACATCGTGTTTTTCACAGAATCTGTAGTTTTCCTTCAGATTTAACGATATACGATTGAAAATATTGTTTGTAACTTTTGTCCGCCATATTGGATTCGCCACTTTGAATTTGAGAAAGCGAATTCTTGATCAGTATCCCAAAAAGGATATGTATAATGTGTAAATAGATAGTAAAAATCCAGTTAATGTTCAGGATTGGTTATTAGAATTTAGAGCGCTAAACAAAACAGCTCCAAACAGGGTCATTCCACTCTTACGTAAATAGAGAAAGGTGAAAACATAAATATGACTGGAACAGCGTTGAACTTTTATTAAGGAATATCATGCTTATTAATTATTATTATTAATCACATACCTCGATATTGCTTGAAGCTGGAGAATTCGAGGAATTATCAATTTATCGAGCGTTTGCACAAGCGTGCTATAACGAAACGTTAAAACGGGGTAGCGCTAACCGGGATCTTAAGAGGGGAGAGCTCAACTTCTCCCCTTTGAATTTTAATCTATTTTTACAGGGTGGTAGTCGACAATCCCCTTGTTGCTATATGTAAAATAATAGGTGTAAAAATTCGTTGAGTGTACAGATACGAGGAACCAAAGTTACACATCTTGGAATATTTATTATGAATATTAATCTCTGTCATCGTTCGACTAGTGCAAATGGTATATGGTCAAATAACGAATAAAAGATAAATAACTGTTTGCTCGCGTTACTCGTTAAATAAAAATAAAAATTTCAATTATAAAATGTAATTGGTGTTATTATTCGAATAAAATTTTGTTCGATTATCGAAAGTTACAGATCAAATTCTGTATTTAGTATATGCAATATGTCTTCTTTTACACGGTGTTCTTTGGAACGTATCTACCGTGCAAAAAGGAAATTGAGTGTAATTTATCTCTCCTCAGAGTAATGGTGCAGTTATATTACTCAAGGGGAACGAAGCACGCATGAGCACATAAATTAAATGTGTATTTATTGCATATTGTAATTTGTTAAGTCGATAATCCATTTATTGAATTCCAAATAATTCGAGGTTCGCGAAGTACATTATATTCTTCTTAGAACGTAACGATAATGAATAACCGTATAATTTTTCTTGTATAATTATTTAGACGTAATGAATAAGTAATTTGTTCGTAAGCACGTTAACGGTTTTTAGTTTCTCTCGAAAAATGTACTTTATTACCATTTTTCTGTATACCATCTCGAAATAGATTGGAAAATATACATTTTTGAAGATATTTATTAAAATGTATTGCTTTTTCTATAAAAGTTTTCGAATCCTGTTAAAAACATGTATCTCGTTTAACACGTTCACTGCCAGATCAAAATCGTGTAATATTCTGCAAAAGTAAAATTTTGATTTTATACCATTGCAAGCTACATAACCTAAAAAAGTAAAATTTTGATTTTATACCATTGTAAGCTATACATAACCTAAAATTTGATTTCAGTACTTATTTTCGTAACCTTGTTAAAATTCACAAATTCCATCCAAATTTATCTTTCTCAACTTTCTTAACTTGAGAATTAATTTTTCTAGTATCATAATGGTAAATCCTGTCACTCATATATGGATGACGTGGCAGTGAAAGTGTTAAAAGAAAAAAGAAATTTATTTCATTTTTGTTAATGAAACTTTGGAGTTCCGTGGTCACTCGATTTAAAAGCAATTCGGTACTCAATGTATTACGAGAAGTTCATTGTTTTTGAAAACTTACGTAGAACCGTGAAAATTTCTTGTATTGTAGTTTTCTGTCGTTCGTGGTCGGGAAGTAAAAATTCAATATCAAGGACGTTAACCATCTTTGATGTCGTCGGTTAGAAACGGTCGCCGGTATAAACGCGTTTAAAGTCGACCGTTCGATTCCGAGGTCCCTCGAACAGCTAAAAAAGAAGAAAAGAAGAGACACAGGCGCGTTACGTTCACTGGGCTCGTGCGTTGAAACGAACCGCTTGGCAAGCGGTGACCCACGACGACGCTACACAGTGGCACAGCCATCGATTCTCTTCGTTTGAATCTCCATTGAGGCTGTTTCAGCGGGCTCGGGTTAATTGATTGGTCCGGGATGTTTTCGTACTTTTGGTCTGACCTCGTTGCCGACGCGTTGGTCAGCTCAGTGCCGACATGGCAGCCAGCAGAGTCCACGCTAGATCGATCACAGGCCGATCTCAGCCGTATCAGTTGTTCAACAGATGACGAACAGCCTGTTAAAGAAAAACGATCCACCTTTTTTCCCCCCTTCTTGTAAAAAACGATTCGCAATTAGGGGACAGATTCACGATCTGCGTGACGCGAGGGTCTGTGGCTGCGCCACTGACGCCTCGATTCGAGAGCGTCTACAGAAATGTTTGGTGCCTCTCGGACAAAGATGGGCAAAACTCTTATCTGGGCATAGTACCGGACAACCGATAGAAGACACTTTCCATGTTTCTATAGTTTCTATGTTTAAAAGAAGAAAATTGGCATCTACGGAATGGGTATGAAAAATCTTTAATTCGAAGGAAATACAAAGCAGAAGTTAAAGAATAAAGTGTATGCATGAGTTGACTTTAGTTGGACAGAACTGTGAGATGCTTAATCTATTTTCGATTCTTACGATTTCAATGTTACGACGATAGGCCGTGGAAAAATTCGAGGAGCGCTTATTACACAACTTAATGCATTCCTCGTCTATTAAGAGTCACCAAAACTTAGGCAAAATATATAATCGGATATTAAACCTAACCCTAACTCGAATTATGTTTGGCTTTTGAAACTTATTATACTGTATACCCATTAATCAATACTATTAAGAATTTTAACAAAACCTGCACCCATCCTATTAATTTAAAACTATAATTGAGGATTAAATTAGACTTAAAAAATGTAGGTATGCACTAGGTACGCGACTTGTGTCACGCTGGGTTATAGAGGGTCGAATAAAAAAAATGGAGTACCAGTAGAATTAAATGGTGGATTTAGTGTTAATAGTTCGTTATTCGAGAAAAATTGTTCGTAGTCGATGCTCGAACAACGCGTTGTACCTTCTTTCTTTTTTCCACTGCACACAGACGGTGCAACAACACGCTGCAAACCTCAAGTTTCGTTTTAATCAATACTGTCGCGTGGTCGCGTGCAGAAATTTCTTTCCCTTATCGCAGTAGGCCGTGCGAACGGCAGATTCTGTCGTGCAGTCCAACGCGGCAGAAAGTGCATTTACTTTGGAACTAAGTACACAAGCACCCACTTCATTTTTCTTCCTAGATAATAGTCTCGAACGCGTTAGATAAAAAATTATTTCTTTCTCTTGGTTCGAGCTTCTTATCTCGCCTCTCTCGTGT